ATCAATGAAAAGAAAGTTTTTTCTCACTGGGAAAAAGGCAGATCCGAAAGGGTTAAGTGAACTATTTTGTAGTAGTCCCCTTTCAGCACAAAGCCAACAAGGCAAATATTCCCCTAGACTTTGCAGGAAAATATTTCAGCATCAAAATTCTGAAAACTTTCTTTCACACCCGATGTTTACTTGAATTTCCACATATTTCAATGAAATTGCCGCTAAATCGATTAATGAGAGAACTTTGCATGCGGGGTACCCATCAATTCGCTATAAATGTACCATTCACACATTTCACGTGAGACATAAGCAACGGCTTATAAGGTGTACGAATTGGATGCAGAATAGTACTTGTGCTTAGGATTCACATTTGCGCCCATTTTCAGCTACAGCCTGTCCAATCCGGATCAGGCTAAAAGCATGATCCGATACGTACCGCTACGGTTTTGTGTCGCGGCTACAATATGCTACCTTCTATCTCAGCCTCTAGTCACAACCTCAACAAGCCTGGTTTAGTGCGCCGGTCTTGCTTCGTGCTTGCTCCACGTTAGACGTCTCTATCTGCTGTTTTGCCGGTCTATATCAGCTGATTTCACCTGCCGTCAGGAGTTTATAGGCTTTGTGTTTTTGCTTTTTTTTCGGAATCTGGCATTGAATTGATCGATGTTTCGCTACTTTGAATTTGAGCATCGTATATAGTCTTCAAGTGTTTCTGAGCCACGCAGCTTTTTAGATGGTCTTTATTTATCCAATCACGTCCTAACGTTTCGACGCCTTCTTCTTCCCCAGAGGCGTGAAAGTGGTTGAAAAGTCATCCGTGATTCCAATCCACCAAACATTTCCCCCAATCCGGCTAGTTCTCAACCTTCGCTCAGCTTTCTTATTATGAAAATGACAGGAAATAAGATGATCACCGAGAAACCACCGTTATATATGGTCCGCACCGGAAGTGATGGTGGAAAACTGGAAGACGAGCTTTATGTTATGGGAAATTGGAAGAGCACTCAACACTCGTATCAGAGAACATCTAGCAGATAAAAAGCGTAAAACATCATCTTCGCTTCAAGCAGGCATAGAAGCGAGGCGCCTAATGCAGAAGACATATCGTGGTAAGATCGACTTGTGAAAAGGAGACCTCTGCTAGGAAAACGTTAGATGCTTTCTGGACTTCTGCAAAAAAATCACAAATGAACAACAAGAACGAGTGCTTGTCAATAACCTCTGACTTCCTTCCGCTCATATCGTTAAGCGGTCTGTAGATCACATTCGATTGTCATTCATGGTACAGTATATTCTTCTACCATCACTTCCGGTGCGGAATACCATATATAACGGTGGTCTCTCGGTACGCTCATCTTCTGCCCTGACATCTTTATTAGGAAATCTGAGCGAAGGCTGAGAACTAGCCGGATTGGGGAAGGTGTTTGGTGGATTGGAACACGGGTGACATTTTGAGCCACTTTCAGACCTCTGAGGAAGACGAAGGCCTCGAAACGTTAGGCCGTGATTGATCAAATAAAAACCATGTAAAAACCTGTGTGGTCAGAACTTTGTCTTATTATTTTCATTATTATATAATAGGAATTATCAGTGCCATTTCGTCACCTTAATTTGAAATGCTTATTTCTACGCAGGCACCTCTACAACATTTCGTGTACTAAAGTCTGTCTAAAAGTAAATACCTTGTGATTATACTACTATAAAAACGTTATATGGAAAGAGGGCTATATAAGGCTCATAGTTAAAAAAGATATATTAGGTCACGCCAAAAGTTCTGTCCTTTCATTTTCAAAAAATTGTGACTCTGCGCTGCATCAATGGATTTGATTGCACGTAATTTTACTAGAAAGAATAAGTCTTTCCTTTCGAACGGTTTATTGCTGGGCTTCTGTTTCAAGCTGAGTAGAGATAT